ATTCCCTAGTCCTAAGCAGACCCGTCACTGCACAGGGCCGGGCCATATTTCCATAGCCCCGGATTCCCATCCTGCTATACCAAGGCTGGATATTTACCCCAGACAGCCCAGAACTTCATCAGACCGTGATCTTTGGCTCTCCTACTCCGTAGAGCCTCAGTGGACATGGTCGTGCGCAAGCTCTCTAGGACTCGTGCGCGTAAAGCTTGCAGGGTGATCACCCTGCCCTGTCGATATCGTTCGTTTCGAAGGGTCCAAATGGCCCAGAGAATAGCCGCTCGTATTACCTCCGAGGCATAGAGCTCCCCCTTGTCCTTCCTATCCACCTTRACCAGGGCGCCCAATAAAATGTGTGCCACATCCTCCTCCATAACAGAGAAAGGAGAGTACTTTCCYACTTCTGCGGCCCACCACATCCAAAACTGTTGGAGAACCGGACAGGCGACGAAGAGATGAGGGATGGTTTCCACCTGGCCGCATCCCGCAGTACAACGCTCATCCCGATAATTGCTTTTATTGGCCTGCCATTGCGCTGTGGGGACCGCCAGGTGGTAGATGAGCCACAAAAGACCTGCCTGCTTCTGATTCGACAGAGATTGCAGCACTGCACACTGCTCTCTCCATTCCCTCTGTCGCCACCGGTACAGGTAGATCACAGGAAGCCACTCTCGTTTAGCCCATCGGTCCACCAGTTCTTCACGCAGATCCAATGGGGGGAGGAGGGAGCGGTATATTGACAGCGTTGTTGGAAGGTAAGCAATCTCGCTGTCGCTCCTGAAGATCGAACTCGAAGCCCATACCATGTCAATCCGGCTCCTTCGGTTTGCCGATCCATACCAGGTGAACTCCTGTCCCGCAGGGAAGGCCGTGCGGTAGACGTCCACACAGTCCAATTCTGCCATAAACAACTGTAGCGCCTCCGCATCTGCCATGGGCGGGCGTTCCTGGAGGGAATCCAGGCCCGGATGGATAGTGGTGTTAAAATCCCCAGCAAACACATAGCATTCAACTTCGGGGATTTGGGTTCTGAATTCCGCCCAAAGATCAATCCGCGCGCGGGGATCCGAGGGTCCATACACCGACACCACACACCAGCGGGTCCGCCCCCACTGTAGCATCACCCAGGCCCATCGCCCCTGTCTATCCCAGTTCCAGTCCACCAATTCCCCTCGAAAATGGGGGGATATCAGAATAGCCACGCCCCCCTGCGTTCCTCTATCAGATACTCCTTGCGCAGGGGCCCAGACCTSAGGTCCCTTCCACCAGGGGGCGTCGTGCAAACAGAGTCCTTCCCCCAACTTAGTCTCCTGGAGGCAGAGAAYGTCGATCTGGTGTTTGCRGACCGTACGCTGCAGCTCCCATCGCTTCGGATTTAGAGAGCGAGTCGACAAGCCCTTCACGTTCCAAGTTAGCAGCTTGAGCTTAGTTGATCGGTTTCTTCGATCCATCCCGGCAGCCCCAACCAGACGGGTGGATGAAGAAAAAACACCAAATTGTAAACAACAAACCAAACAAAAAACAGACAAGCAAGATGTAATCAAAAAAGAAAAAAGCAAACAAAAGCAAACAAAAACAAACAAGAATACAGCCGAAAAAAACTACCACATTTACAGCGCTAACTATTCTACACTAGAGGAGGGAGTGCACTCACCCAGAGGCACTCATAATTAACACAGCGCACCTAAGTCTAACCCCGCTACATCCTATCCTCTGTCGCCCACCAACCTTTAGCTTCAATAAAGTTCCCCGATCCCAGACGCTGGTTCATAGGTAGCATAGAATTGACTTTGGCCAATATCCCTGCCGTAAACTCGTGGACGATCCGATAGTCAATGGGGCTGGCACGGGGGCCAAAGACCTGATCCAACTTCGTCCAAGTAGCATCCTTGTGAGCCAAGGTCAGAGAGCCCGCTCGCCGGGGGGTGATGGATGTAAAAAAGACCAACAGCCCGTACTCCGTCCCCCCTCGCAGTTGTCTGAAAAAGCGTCCCACCGAGACTTTGGGAAGCACTTTCACTCTATAGTTAGGACCCACCCAACGACTGACCTGTCTGATAATATTCGGGTTCTTGGGGAGGGAGCGTGCCGCATAGACGAAGAATTCCGTATTGCCTTTCGTGACCACCTTAATACCTTGCTCCGCCCACCATAGCATCACCGGGCAGACATAACACTCGCCGACAGCTAATATTTCCTGTAGCGATCCCTTCACCGTTGTAGTAATATCCATGTCTGCTTCCATTCCCTCATTGATATCCATGTCCTCATCCATCGCTCCGCCCCTGTCATCCGTCGAGTCCCCACCTTCATCCCCTATCATGGGCTCATCCAAATCCGGGGCAGRCTGGCGGGTTTGCGCATCCTCCCTGCCTTCCGCCAGCCCCTCCTCGGCCATCTTATTCTGCAACTCCTCCTCTTCAATGAGTCTTCGCTGCGGGGACACCCATCGGTCTTCGTCTTTAAGCGGCTGCACCTTACGACCAGCCGGGGAGCGGGACCGATCCCGCCTCTTCGGTTTTGCGTCCGCCTGTGCCTGCAGCTCGCGTCGCGCCTCTTCTCGATCGGATTGGATCGCCCCTGCTGCTTGCTGTAAGGAAATTCCTACCTTCGCAGGGCTCGATATGGGCGGTCCCGAGGTCAACAGCTTCCGCCGACGTCTCAGCATGCCCACCGATCCACTGTCCAATGACACAGCAGTGGGCTCACATTTGTGGGAGGGGGGAGGAGGGGGGGGGGGGGGGGAGAGGGCTGACAGGCTAGCAGCGAGGTCCACCACCTCCACGTCGCCTGATTCGCCTTCTTTCGCATCCCCCTGGACTGGGATGTGCACATTTGTTGACTCCGCACCCGTTTCTGTACAACCATAAGGGATAAGGAGCCAGCATTCCTGCTGCTGCCCCAAAGGTGGTTCTCCATTCCTCGATCTATCCCCGGACCCAGCCTTTTCCTCCCTTCCCCCCCCGCCCACCTTCTCCTTCCCACCACTCTCTCCCGTCCTTTCCCGTTCCTGCCCTCCCCCTTGAATCGCCTCACTCTCCCCGATCTTTCCTTCAGACATACATTCCTTGCTACTCCCCCCCAACGTCTCCTCCTCCCCGGCCTTCCTGTATGTGTCAAACTTCACTTGCTTATCTTCCCCTCGTGTCTGCCCTCCCCCTGGGAGCATCTCACTCTCCCCCACCTTCCCCCCTAGCGTGCTGTCCTTTCTATTCCCCCCCCCCCCTTCTTCATCCAACCGTCCCGAAGATTCCACTACCTCCTCATTCGACCAACCATTGGCCTCATTAATGTCCTCCGGCACTTTCCCTAACCTGATCTCATCCAGCCCCATCTGTCCCTTCTGCTTACATTCCCCCCCAAGCTCACGCAGCACCTCCTTGGTTTGCCCTGTCTCCCCCCCCGAAACCCGAAGTGCTTGCCTATCAGATCTACCCTCCCCCTTCCCCACCAATATCTCCTCCGCCGTGGGGGGGGGCTCAGCCACCCGTCCTTCACTCGTCTCCCCCCGCCCCCACTCCCTAACGCACGCTTTCCCTTCCCGGTGTTCAGAGTTTACCTTTCCCTTTACTACGTCCGCCCCCCGTTCTCGCTCCTCCGGGGGGGAAACCGATGTATGCTTTGCGACCCCCTCCTCCACCTTGCCAGCTTCCTCCTCCGGGGGGGGGGACAGTGACTGGGCCTCGTCTGCCCGTCCTCCACTCGTCTCCCCACACCCCCATTCCCTATCCCATTCAGGGACACACGCTTTCCCTTCCCGGTGACATTCCGCATCAGAGTTTACCTTTTCCTTTACTACGCCCGCCCACCGTACCCGCTCCTCCGGGGGGGTAACCGATGTGTGCTTCGCAACCCCCTCCTCTTCACGCTCCATCCCTGGTGGGTGCACCCGTCGCTCCTGCGTCACATGCTGATCAGACCCCGCCACCATACTCCCCATCCCCTGTACTTGGGTATCAGTCGGGGTCGGCTGCCCGTGGGCCCTACACTCCTGTTCCACAAGGGTTGCCGGCTTGGCCACCGGTTGCTGCTCTGTTCCCTCCACCTTATCCTCCATCCCCTGTACATGCGCGTCAACCAGGATCAATGGCTCGTTGGAGCCCTCAAACTGAGAGCCTCGCTCTTGAACAGAAGCCTCTTTATCGACCAGATCGTCCCCCCCCCCCCCCCCCCATCCATTCCCCACTTCAGCCGGTTGTACGTGATCGTCAACCCGCGCATCCGTGGCCGCGGGCCTAGAAGTTGCCGAAGCCGGCTGCGTACTAGGACCACACTGCCGCTTCTCAATCCCCACCTCACCCCCATCCCCCAACGTAGTGTCCTCCTGACATTCCTTGCGTTTCCGGTGCATATCACCAAAGAGCCACACAGGGGGGTCAATCTCCATGCGGTCATGCACCTCCACTGGGGGGTCTCTGTGCCTGCCTCCGCCCAGCCCCCTGGGCGGCCGGATATGTCGATCACGGGGTTTCAAGTTGTGTCGCCTGCGATAGCCCTCTGCTACTTCGGGGCCCCCCATGCGCCAATGTGCCTCTTGCAACTCCTTCAGCACCACCGCATCATATCGCTGTTCGATCTCCCTCCAGGATCGCCTTTCCTCTTCCACATTCGACGTTAAAATGGGGTCCATTCGCCGGCGTATCTCCTTCTCCTGTAGCTCTCTGACTGATTCCGCCTTGGAAAGGCATCGGCCTTCCCGTCCCAAATGACCATGCGTAAAACAAACRTCGCAAAAAGGAGTTTCGCTCGTAATAAAGCGAAACTCCTGCGTAGTCGTAGGCCCAAAAGCCACCGCTACCCTCTCAATCTGGCGCATCTTCAGTGGGCCCCTAACCACATACCTCCGATATTCCCTTTCTTCTTCACAGAAAAGGGCTATAGAAACAATTTCGCCAAAAAGTTGTCACACCATCTGTTCTTCAAGAGGGACCAAAAAGGAGGGGGGGCTGAAAACTTTGACCCATGGCCACAGTCGTTTCTCCTCCTCCCGCTGAAACTCCATTTCCGCAGGCGTTCGCCATGGGACCAGTTGTACTTCATGACCAGCATCGCCCGCCAATATAGACTCCACCTTCCGTTCATATATGAGCCAATCCCTGACCTCCGTGGAGGGCGCCATATAGATGATCGTCCGCGAGCCCTCTATGTCAATCATCCCCTTCCACGGACCCCTACCCATTAACCACAGGTCTTCGCGCGCTGTCATCCATGTCTTCTTCATACGTCGTGACCAGGGCGCCACTACTTCGGGAAGCTTGAGGACTACTGCATGAGCCCGCGCATACGTCATCAGTAAATACCCCAAATCAGGGGCCAGTCGCGCGACTGCCGTCCCCCCTTCAATGGAAAAGGATAGCAGATCTGGGGGTCGTAGTTGGAGCCCTAAAAGAAAAGCTCGACGAATCATCTGCATCAAACCCTCTCGGTGTGCTTCCATCTCATTCACCCAACGCCTATTTGACCAAAAGAAAATCGCGAAAAAGAAAAGAAAAGAAGACAAATTCGTAACATCCCCTGCCCAAACCTCGCCTCCCTTCCCCTCTTCGTAAGCCGCACCCGCATTCCAAAAGCGGAACAAAAACCGCGGGCCTCCCCGTGACCGGGGTCGGCTAGTCAGCAAGACGACCCATACAAGTAGACTAGTGATCCCCGTCGTCTTCTGTTCCGCAGGCCAAGTCTCTGAGCGCAAAGAAAGCTCCACGCCCACCCGCTTGCATGACCTCTTTCCTTGCACACTCCATCCTCACTCACCTAGCTGTATTCTACCATACTCCCGTCACCCGCAACCTGACGTTGTCATGCACTCCACACCCAAACTGCTCGCCATGACCTGGCCTGCATCCACAAGAGTGACATAGCCGACGTGGCTCATGCCACGTCAACGGGGGCGGTCAAACTTTAGTATTAGGCGAGAAAAAACGTGAAACCCTAGCTGGCGCGAGGAGGTCCACGCGACGGTTCGAAAATTCAACAGCCGAAAAAAATCGCGCGGCAAATCGCCGCGCGACTAAAACTTCGAAAATTTCAAACGCCGCCGTCCCACATTCACCCGCCACCAGGTCGTAAATTCACTCAAGGTCCCAGATGCTCAGGTCCCCGATCSTGAAAATTAGCGCAAACAAAATTAGCGCAAACACAAAGTGTGCCATCGCCATTTGCAGTTTCACAGTGCAAAGTGTTCACACTCAGACGTGCATGGCTTAGTCTTTGAGACAAGCATATGACTACTGGCAGGATCAACCAGGTAGCGGG